GCTTGGGAGTCCCATACAAGAACAAAACAGCCGTTCAGTGTTTTCAGGTTTTTCATGGTGGTCTAGCTTAAATCGACTCATGGATTCAACCATTAAATCACTACGATTTTCCTAAACCCTCATCCTGATCATAACTTTTATTCATCTCTTACATTTTACTAGTTTTCAAAGGTTTATTAAAACTACAAACAATAAAAACAATTCAAACATTTTTGAAATTTTGAAACCAGACCTCCTTTTTTCAGTGTTGTGTGATTTGAGCAAAGATGGATAGTGACTAGCAGTGGGATCCAGGACGCGCGTTTCGTTCTATTTGGGTCCTGGAGTGAACATCAACCCCGGGATGCAGGTACATCCAGCTGACCAGTCCCACATAGGACGAGACGGGCGTCCTGGATTCCACTGCTAGCCACTATCCATCTTTGTTTAAAAAGCTTGTGACTTAAGGCTTTATCGAGGCAATACGCACAGGATTCACATATGTCAACATGAGACTGATCAATGTAGTCCTGAATTGAACAAGATTTCATTTTCAAATTTTACAATTCTATTTTAAAGTCTCATATTCAATTCAGGAGTCTGTGATAAATCTCAAGGAACAACCGATGAAAGTTCATCCTACAATTATCAAGTATTTGGATCGCATAAGCCGAATAATTTGAATCTTTATTTCCTTTCATCAAATATATATAGTACTTAGATTTCAAAATTTCTGTACAAAATAACCGTACAAATTTGGATTTATTGAATTTGTCTTAGGACATTGTATAAATCTAATTATATAATCTAAGCCGTTGCCTGACATTGGCTAGTTTATAACCATAATATTAATTTCAAAATTAAGTTGTTTAGCAATGACTCAAAAAGAGATTTGATCTTATTTACATTTACTCAGAAAACGCCAAAATGTATTATGTAATTGTTTTCTTTGATAGATTATCTTTTATTGTTCTTACATAAGAGAACTCTGGCAAATAAAATTCAGAAATGAAAGTTGAATAGCTTATCTATGGACTATATAAGGATGAGAACTAATTTGTTTTCAAACATACATTTGTAGGATGTGTTTTATAATAGCTTGAAATAAGCGTTCGCGCGCGAGACTGAAGGCTTTGGGTTCGAATCCTTTGAGCGGGATCGTGGATGCGCACTACTGAGTAGTCCCACGATGGGACAAAACTGCCGTCCAATGCTTCCAGGTTTCCAAAGATGGTCTAACATCAGTCGGTTCATGATCTCAATCAAAAGCTTAAAACAAACTCGACACTTTTCACCATTCTTAACATTGTGGTTTCTAACAATGAATGCATTGCGTTCAGAAATATATTATACTGGAAAATAAATAATTTATTTAGGAAATATCGAGCATGTAATGTTTATATCTTTCCAATATAAGCGTTCAATCATAAGTAGATGATAGAAATAACTATAAAGTATATTCAATGTGTACGAGTTAATGAGTCAAATACAAACGTTTAAAATTGCCTTATTGTTTTGTATTCTTTTTATTAGTAAGCTGATGGCTATCCTTAACATTTAGAATTACAATTATCTATTTACCTTCAGAAAATAAGTATTTAACATCAGTAAACAGGGAATTAAATCTTTTCTTCATAAAGCCAACGGTACCCAGAAATAAAAGTATAAAACTAACATTCAGATTTACTGACCTAATTAATCGTAAGTTAGAAGTTAAAAACATAAATAGAGGCATTTTAATTGGCAGCAGAACTTAGAGTTAACCAGATTACATAAATTAATTAATTTACAAAAGCCTATTTACAACAAAGCAAATAAAATATATTCTTTTCAATAGATTCTCATCATGTTCTACAATTATAATTTTTATTCAATTTGAGCGCATCTATTGATGTTAGTAATAAGAAACAACCCGATATCAGTCTATCAAGACCGTATTAGTTCTAGTTTAGAATACAGTATGATAAATGTGATTAAATTCACAGTCCTTGAATTGATGGAAGGAATAATTACCTAGACCGCACAACTGAAACTTTGAGTTTAAAGACCACATGTGGCAGTTTCTTTTACTTTGAATAACCTCAAATTTGCTAACTCTATATGTATTACAGTTTTAGGGTGTACAAATATAAATGACTTACATATTTTCCTCATTTCTGTACTTTAATCATTCGAAATTATCTCATTCAACTATTTTTATAATTACCTACTAAGTCAAATTGTGAGCGAAGTATTTAGCATTCATGTTATTTCACTGTTTCTTAACTATTTCATATAAACTTATGCATAACGCAATATTAGGTATAACATTACCTTTTTACATTTAAATCACGTTGAAATGATTTACTATCGGATGATTGAGTAGTTACTTCATGTATGCACAATGTAATTTTTATTTCAATACTTACAAATTTCAACGGTTGAGATCATGAGTCAATTGAAGCTAGACCACCATGGAGAACCTGGAAGCACTGGACGGCCGTTTCGTCCTATTATGGGACTCCTCAGCAGTGCGCAACCACGACGAATGGTTTTCAATTAATACCCCCTATCATAACCGAGGAATCTTCCACTACTTTTCATCACTAATTTAAACTCATAACCTAAGCTAAATTAGGCTCTTCTTTGATATACATAATTTGTTTATTGTTTTGAAATGAAAAACTCTACAAACCAAAGATTTCTATTTTCCAACATATTTTGTTTTTATATATATGTCTTAATGTTAATCATATTGTTTTCTGTTGAAGTAGCAGAGAAACCTAAGAATATATGTTAGTTCATATAGTCCATGAACACTTCCAATATTTTGCTACTATTATGAAAAAAATATTTATAATCAGTTGGATTAACGAATGTTTGAATTATTTTATTTGTCTGATCAGTACAATGTTTGCTAACACATACTTTGTACGATTGCAGTGAGCGAGAACTCAGGTGTAGAATAACCAGTTTACTATTTAATACAAAATTGCAGAATGTCGTGGTAAATTATGAGAACCATATTTTAAATTCTTCATTTGCAGATCTTTTTAATTAATTGTCCTTTACATTCTGTATAATTCTTACACATCACAAGTTCTTTCTGTTTTCTTCAATTAGACCTTTCAATCCTTTTACTACTAGACATTCCACTTCTGACTGATGTTACATACTACTTATAAGTAGCATACACATGATTACCATGAAATAAATTTTAACAGTGAAATAACGAGGTTATATACTTAAATTATAAAATTGTTAGTTTCATAACGAAATTTTAATTTACTTTATTACATTAGATACTCTAAAACATCTTAATCATTATGACATAATGTGATAAAACAACCTATAAACTACATCATTAAAACGTAATCCACGGTGATATTTCCCCAACTAATTAGAATTTCAAATGTTTTTCTAATGATACAGATAATAAATTTTACTATTTTTGGTTAAATAATTCGTGGATACACACCACTGAGGAGTCCCATACTAGGACGAAACGGCCGTCCAGTGCTTCCACGTTTTCCATGGTAGTGTAGCTTCAATTAACTCATGATTTCAATCAGTGACATTTCTAAAATCTCCACAAAACTCCTTCTGATAATTCCTTATACATTTATTTATCACAACATTTTGAAGTAATTTAATCTAGGTAAACTAAATTGATTCAAATAAATCTTTCAGTTATATAACTATGACCGTACGAAATCAAACCATAACAGTTAAATACATGTATCAATATAATACAATGAGGAAAAAAATATAACATTACAGTTACATAATATGTAAAAGTAAATTTTTAAAAAAAAGTAGATAATTGACAAATGCGAACGTCTTTTTTTGCCTCACATAAAGACATTTAGCATAATAAAACGTGAAATAACACCTGATATCTTAATAATACATAGTGATAATAATAATGATTATTATTACCATTTGAAATGATAATCATATCATTAAATAAAACTGTAAGTATTACATTCATAGCATGAACAACAATGACATACATTAATAAGAAAACCAAATTTACTGAAGCTCACATTTAGTTTAGTTCAAGTTTGTTCTTTATTGTTTGTTTGTTTGTTTTTTTTTGAAGAAAAATAGATGAGGAAAATTGAGTTTCTAAGAATAAACGATCACATTTTACAATGAACAAATAAATGATTGCGTTACATTTGTCATTTTTATTAATAAACAAATAAGCTATAAACAATTGATTCGGTATAGTACCCTGAGACAAAACACATATATATATATTAGATGAATAAATATTCAATAATGTTGTGGTGTGTGTTACTTATATTGATATAAGTAGTATATGACGCTAGTCAGGAATGGAATGTCTGGCAGCAAAAAGACAAAAGGATCAAACAGTAAAGAATGATAACAGAACGCAATTTGTATAAAAATGCAATAACAATGAAGTCTAAGTCATTTTAAGACAGTTGATACAGATAATTAAAATAACCCATAGTGTCACTGTATAAGAAAAAGAGAAATCAGCGAAGAATATTTTCTTTTCGATGAAATCATTTACTTAAGCTGTACATTCGTATATATAGTTATATAGAAAATGTATGTCTATAGAAGGATAGGAAGGACTGTATCACAAAAAAATGGAATCGATGATAAATAACATTTTGCAAATTAAGCATTTACCACATGATTGTTAGATTTTATTAGCAAGTTCTATAATTTTCTGTCAAATACATTCGATTGTCCCCCACTTATGTTCTTGTTCATTACAAAGTTATCACTTGTATCTATGGTACAATTATCATTGATGGGGGGGGAATAAACATTGAAATTAAATAATTAATTATTATTATTTTCTCTTTTTTTAAAAAAAATATAACCATTAAGCGGATACACATAAAATATACGAGTATCATAGAATACAAAATGCAAATGCTTTTATATCATGTTTTAATCCAGTATGGACATTCATCAATTATGTACAAGAAAGATTTAAATTCGAAAAAGAGAAAAAGAAATAAAGGAAATGCAAATATGAACATTGAATTGTAGTTTAATGTTTATGATGTTAAAAATGTGGATAGTTCTGGTTTTTTACATTTTCTTAAATCAACATTGTAATTATAACCAATAGTATTATTAGAATTAATAAGATTATCAGTAATCTCTATGGTTTTTCTATCATTATTCATGTTAAATGATGAATAATTTTTAAAAGAAGTTTTTATTTTATTCGAATTTAGATGTAATCTATTGATTTGATCTTCTTCAAATGATAAATTGGTAGTGATCGTTTGTTTAGGTGAAGTCAATAATTCTATATCATTATTTTTATGAATTGATTCTATGATTATTTGATGATCACAAGGATCTATTGTGTTATTGAATTGAGATAAAATCATTTCATGATTATCTTTAATAGGTATACTTGAATTGGTTACAAATTTAAGATGAGACGTTGAAATGTCATGTAGTTGTTTAGATTGACTAATTGGAAAGTTATTTTGATTATTAGTAAAATTATGTATTTGTTTAAATGATTCATCTGTAGTAGTTTCGTTATTTGTAATTGATAGTTTGTTGATACGAGAATGTGACAATTTCAAACACTTTTTTCTGATAATAAGAAGTGCTACACCTATGATTAAACCAATGATTATACCGACAAATCCAGAAAACAACAATTTCCAAATATTTTGAATTGAATATAATAATCCAGTAGAAAATTTTCCTCTGGCTACTAGATCAATCGGAACTTTAAGTAGATCTAATTTTCTCAGGCGATCTGAATCTTAATTTAAAATAAAAAGGGAAATAATCAAAACAGTAATAAATTAGAGAAATTTCAAAACTCTTTTCAATTTGTTATATTTTAGCCGTCATTGGACGGTTATGCAAATATGTTTAAATTAATGTATCATTCATTTTATGCTCCTTTCAAGAGAATCAAATAATATTTGCAGAATCATGCTAAACCAATTTGATAATATTAACTTTATCGTTTCAACTAAATGTAGGCTCACGGATATATAATAAAATCTTTTGTAACACGTATGGTAATCTAAATCGACTGAATTAAGAATTAAAAGACAGTGAATTCCAGCTTAGAGGCCTGACGATTCTGAGTTTGACCCCCATTTGGGTCTTCGATGCCCACTTCTGAAAAGTCTAATGTTAAGAAGAAACAGCTATCCAGTGTTTTTTTATCTTCGGTAGTTGTGTATGTAAAGTCATTTCATAGTATCAAGCTATAAAAATAAATGCATGTACTTAAAGACCTTGTATAAAAGGTTATATTTCTACGATTAATTAAATCCGATCACTTAATTTTAAAACAATAGAACACTGTAATATTGAGTCAGTTAGACTAGTGACCAGATTGGTACTTGGCAGATAGTATTGTGTTATCAATAACATTAGATAACGCACTACTAATTATTCCGACCTGATCATTTACTGTTGACATGCAAGTAATCATAGACCAATTCTACTTGTATAAATCACCTTGTATAATTGAAATTACAAGAAGTAATGAATTTTTAATCTTCTATTTAATGTGATACTAGATACTAAATGTTAATCGATGGTAAAATATAATTTGATGAAAATTTCTGCACAGTAATAAATGTATTCGGCTTTGAATAAGTCGTTCCTTAAATGTAATGGGATGATTGTTTTCTATTTCAGTAGTTATTTGCCTATATTTTTTATTTAAAACATATGAACGTGTTTTGAATGTAGAGACTTATAATCATTGTACAATCTCAATTTAATTGCAAACCTGTTCTAGAGAACACTTATCAATAGAGTCACATAGATAAAACTAAAAATATTCATTTCACTATACTCCTGTTAAATGTAAATCGCTTCCTCTTGACATTTAAGTTAAAATACTTTCTCTTGAGTTAAAATATTTTAACTGATAGAGGTTTTGTGGATATTATATTAATTTACTAGCTACATTCACAACTTAATTAAAGCCATCTCACTATGTAAAACCTGAAAGCACTGGAAGGTCATCTCGTCCTAGTATGGAACTCCTCAGAAATGCTCATCCACTATCCCACTCGCAGGATTCGAGCCCAGGACCTGTCAGTCTCGTACGCAAATGCTTAACCACTAGACCACTGAGCCAGCATTCAACGGTGTTAATGCATATCTTCAACTGATCCATACTAGGAAAAAAGGGCCGTCCATTGCTTCCAAATTTTCCATGGTATTCTAGCTTTATTTGACTTATGAATTCAACCATTAAAATTTCTACATTTACACTGTATTTGATCAAAGTGTATACTGACTAATTGGTAATAAATAAAACCTTTAAAAATATTTTTTGAAATTAGTTTTAAATAAATCTGACTATGTACCTGAACTCCATAATAAAGAATATAATAACGTTAAAAGTTCTATTTAGAGTATGGTGCATTAGATTATCGCTAAATTGCCTGTGCTCTTGTTATTTTTGTGGTTGAATAAATACTGTAGAAGACCAAAACTATTGTAACATTCCAGAGGATACCAAACATCTTAACTTTACCTCAGTCTGTGAAAACACAATTGTTTCAACCTTATAAATTGGTTATATTTCAATAGGAAAGTTTTCGTAAGTAGTGAAGATTATTGATCATGTCACATAAACCGTATGTGCATTTATTTCTTTAAAAATGTAGAGTTACTTAAGGCAAAAACTTAGAAGGTATTTCAAATTGTATGGGGATGGCAATCTTGTCATTAAATGAAATAGTACTTGGTGAAGTTTTTAAAATCTGATTTTTCAAACTTTTTGATGAGTCTTACGGATTGAACGCTATATTCGTCTTCTAAGCTATTCTGTAATCCCCAAACTAGAACTATACAGTGACCTGAACACGAGAGAGAAGACGCTAAGTACGCGAGAAGCAGTTTACTCCAAGGTTCATTTTAATACAGAAAATACAGGGTTTTTATAATATTTTAAATGTGCTTGGGTTGCTAGAAGATTCTGGAATGCTACTAAACATAGTGGCAGTTTAGCGGCCAGCCAATCAGAGTCTTTGCATGTGACGTTTCGCTTCCTTGATATTTTTGGCTAAGACTTCAAGTGAACGCTGATTGGATGAAACGCTTCTTAGTGTTTCCTGATGCTTGTTTGTCTTTTGCAAGAAATTTTCTGGATCACCCCAACACTTTTTGAATACTGTAGTTTATGTTTTCATTTTTCCCAGAAGAATACGTTGAATGAGATTTGTTAAATTGCGTTAAAATTTTAAACTGTAACCGACAAATCTCATTTCCTACAAAAAAACATCATATGCTTTAAATCTACATAAGATTCTCTACACTAACCTCGTTCAAATTAACAGGTTAGTGTATTAGTGTAGTTAGTGTAAGCGACTGTTCTTAATAACTTGTTAAACAATAAATTTGTATTTGATTTGACTCACTTTCGGAATTTTCAGGATTTTTCAATTCGGCGTCATTTGATTCCCCACAGTCCTTGTGAAAACCAGTCAGAATATTGCTTAACCTTGGAAGAAAAACAGATAACATATAAATAAATATGCAGTCAAATTTTACAACTAAAAATAATTCATTCTCAGTTACATACAAAATGAGATACATGGGTGTATTTATTCAACATCCGCAGTCGCGTGCGAGACCGAAGGACCTGAGTTCGAATCTCGCGAGCGGGACCATGGATGCACACTTCTGAGGAGTTCCACACTAAGACGAAACAGACGTCCAGTGCTTTCAGGTGTTCCATGGTAGTCTATCCTTAACTGGCTCATAAACCCAACTATTAAATCTGTGCTATTCGTTGAATATTGACGACGACTGGTCATATACCCTTAGAGTAAGAATTATGTAATAAAATATAGTATTTGAATACTATCATTATCATCTTTAACTAAATGATTAATTAGTGCATTCAGTTATATTGAAATTGTTTACACTGCTTAATGTCAAAAATATCATATATAATCAAGTAATACTTAACAGATGGAAAATTTTGAGTGGCGTGAAGCGATCTCTAAAGATTCAACCTAATTATCAAAATCTTGCCACTTAAATGATTAAGTGTCCACTTTACTACCCATGTGAAAAATATAATACCATCACAGTTTGTCTGTAAAAGTGATAATGTAAGGACAGTTCACGGGTGAACTAGCGGAAACTTTAAGTAAGTCAGAAAGAGCCAAAGATATGCCATTCAATCATTTCCAGAATCCCTACATAGAGCTTCCCTATTGAACAAATGCTAAAAACCCCCTGTATGTGGATTTGAGAACTATAATGATGACCATGCACCATTATTGACACTATTTGGAATAGCATTATTTTCACTTGTCTTCTATCTTCTCATTTGCGACTTGAAGAGTTCTAGCGTTTGAGTGCTCAAGTTATACGCGGTATAAAAGGAATTAAGCTTTAGATATAACAGATAGTCATGGTCACACTGCATACTTGTTGTTGCTAAATATCGGTTATTTCATTCGGATTTTAAGAGAATAAAAAATGAATTTATTCATACATTTCTTGGATCGTTTTGTTCACTTGTATATTTCTTTTATTAACAAGGTTAAATCAAGCTTAATTAATGTATTATATGAGATGTAAACTTTACTAATTTAACTTACCCTTCTGAATTAGTGTCACATTTTTTCAACATTTTATTCCAATAGCAGTCTGGATCTTTGAGCGCTAAACATTCTCTACAATAAGAATATTAATTTGATAAATTTTAATGTATTTTAAACCAAATATATATTTAATGATGATTAAAATCAAATGTAATTAGAAACCCCTAAAGCAATTCAACTGATGAAACTCAGTTTATTCATTTTGTAAATGTTTTCGTGATGAATAAATAATTGTCACCAGGTAGGTATTCATTTAGCTAGCACCACGAACAAACTAGATCGAATATCTGGTATTTGCAGACACGTCCTATTCTGTATGAAATATATTTTTGTTTCCATATTTCAGTTGTAAGGTATAAAGAAATCCTACATTGTTAGTATAGTCAGGTAATTTAATCTGCATATTTAAGGAATGATTTTGAGCGAGTTAGTTGCAACCGTTGAGAAAGATATTTTACTTTTAATGAAAAATCAAGTCTTCTTTTCTATTTTGGACAATAGGATGTAACAAAATTTGATTAGTTTCAGCTACTTACCATTCTTTATTGTTGGAAATGCATTATTCTGATATTTTTATGTTAACTTAACAGTTTTCAAATATTATACAAACGTCTACTGGTAATTTGATTGATTCATTTTAAAGATGAACAGTATTATTAGGACACCTTTTTTGTAATTGGATGTTCCTTGACTTAAGTAAACAGAAAGCATTACATTATTGAGAACATAAGTTATAAAACGTGTATCGTCTGAATGAACACATTTAGAAGTGTTCAAATTATTTTGTAATTTTAATAAGAGGAACATGAATATACATAGTTTAACTACTTAATAATTATACAATAAAAATATAGGGATTATATTGGTTCATAAAGTTTTTTTTGTGGGGTCCTTAATTTTGTCGTCATTTAGATTGAACGATGTTGTCGAAAGGGCTCTCCACTTTAGTGGCCCGAGATCTGACTCCAAGCAGATCGTAATGATGATTATTGTTGAAATATATATGTCGCCTATCCTTGTAAATAATCATCGACTTAAATCGCGTTAGTCAGTAGTGGATTTAGATAAGTCAAATAACGAGAATGGACTTTTGAATACATATATTTTGTATATGAAGCGAATCGAATAAAGAGATGAGAAACGACGAGCGGTGGAGATGGCGGGTAAGCCAACTCCCATTTAACCGAGCGTTAATCAATATTTATAGTTACACAAAAGTAAGTTAAAGACATATGATGAGTAATAGGATGAGAAGTGTACACACACCTACGCGCTAATATAAAAACACTCAAGATTGATAAGCGAATAATTAACAAGGTCGGAATGTGACTCGAGTAGAATGAATAAATTGAGCTGTCCGAAAGCTAGAATAAGATACATGAGCTTAACATAATAACCGACACTACAAGTTATTAAGAGTTACCACTCATAATACTCATCGGAATATAACAGAACTTCGCATCATTTCAAAATTTATTCTAGTCCTTTTATTTTGGTGATATGTTAAACCTTAAGTACCAATCTATAAATATTCTTCTCCGTTTTTCATTCAGAACTATTTCTTGACTTTCAAAACTTTTTTCAATAATAATCATAGAAAAATATTAATTTCTATGTTGTTTATCTTTTCTTCACATTTTTTTCGTTTGTTTGTTTGTTTGTTTAGTTGTTTATTTACATTTATATTCTTCTATTGTTACTACTTTAATTAACCTTCTGAATACATTTCTATCATTAGATAGTTTAACATTGTATTAATTTACTATAAATGTACCGATTTAAATAGATTAACTCATTATAGTTTCATTTAACTATCTATCTAATTAACTAATATAAAATTTACAAATTATATTCATCTTTATTTAAGACATTAACTTTAAAGAATGGAAAAACTTTCTTATACTCTCCTTTCTGATAATAATGATAATAATCGTTCGTTATTTGAATTTATCAAATTATCAAGTTCATTTGTAATAATGATACATAGAAACGTATGTCCTAATTACAATGTTCAACATATTTATTATACATTAAAAATTGTCTGATTTCTCATATACATATGACACAAAAGAGAAAAAAAAACATTCTTTAGGGAAATTCAAATGATGAAAAGTGTTTTCATCTTTAAATTTCTTTAAATAAACAGTCATTGAATAAGAATACGTGCTATGACAACATTATCATCCAGTAAATAGCCTTGAAAATATAGAAAAAATAAAAAATAAAACAGATGGTTTCTTTTAATATTCAAGGATTTTGTTCCCAAATTAAACAATAAAGTATCAGTAATTATGTTTGTTTCATACAGTGAATTCAAAGTTTAAATAGTTTAGAAAATATCTTATTATTTTATGTTGATGTTTTTCTGAAATAGATAATGAAATTAAGTTCATCATGATTCAGATACCCAGTAAAACTGAGTTATATATATATATATATATATATATATATATATATATATATATATATATATATATATTACAACACAAAGAGGAGTAAAAGCATATTTTTTGATGGAGTTTTGTTCTCTGAGCTACATGGCTTGGTCGTGGAGCTTTCATCGTTCTTCTGAACGACATCATCAGCATAAACTTCATATAGACGTTTGTGATGAAGTTTGCGCTGATGATGTCGTTCAGAAGAACGATGAAAGCTCCACGACCAAGCCATGTAGCTCAGAGAACAAAATTCCATCAAAATCATCCACCTGAGCTACAAATCTCCACCACCTTAGGAGTAAAAGCTGGTTAACAGAATAACTATAGTTTACATCTTAGTCTCTCTTTGGATTAAAGTAATTTAATCAAACACGATTTGAGTATTTCTATACTGTAGTGCATTAGTGTAATGAACAGGAACACAAGTAAGGACAATCGAATATATTTGACACAAAATTACAGAGTATTTCAATAAAATCTGAGAATCATATAGTAAATAGTTAATTTGCAAAATAGCAATCCATCGTCTTAAATTTCACTGTTCCTTTTGCAAATAACGGTCCATTGTCTTAGATTTCATTGTTCATGCATTTTCATACCAATTGTGTTTCGTTCCCCTTCTTTCCTTTTCGATCTTCTACTGAAATACATTCTATGCTTGACCATCGTTATATACTACTTGTGTGGATATAAGTAACCCATATTACATTAGCAATAAATGGTTACTGAAACTTAAGTACTCTTTTAATTATTATTTACATGTTTTACCCAAATATCCAAACATAGTATCACAGATAAGCTGATAACAAAATAGATAAATCGCGTACACCACAAACGAACATAATAGTTTATAGAAACAATGAGACAAGTTCATGATGATAGCTCTAAATTTGTGTTTTAAGTATACTGAAAAATAAAATAGCCCTAAAATTCCGAATGTCTCTCATTATATTTTTCTGTATTTATCTGTAATTATCAAAGATTGACTATTCAGCTTATATGCAAATAATATTAAAATCATTCATTCAGTGAATCAATTTCATTTATAATATAAAACCCCGAAATCTCAAGTCATTTTTACATTTGGAATAGATGGTGTAGGCGAACAAGGCATCCAAGCAGTGATTAATTAATGATTTAGAGCTCTATAGTTTTATGAGTTCATCAGCTACGGGCAGCAGTTATAGAAAGCACATTATAACCGAACGAATTCCATAAGTTGCGAAAATTATATACGTTTTTATTTCAGTCTGTCACATTTGGCTATCTCATGACTATATAAGGTAAATCATCATACAGATACACCTTGCTAACAAGTGTCAAGTAGCACGAAACTTAGGTCCAGGGTTTCCTGTTGACTACCTCCAACCACCATCATATATCAATCATATATGCTTTCTATAGTCATAATTCCAACTATAGAGCCTATTTGATTAATGTTTCTTTCATACTTTTAACTTGCATATTCATTTGTTTAGTATTTTATCCTAAATGAATGATGTTTTTTACATTTTTTCTTGCTTTTTTTCTAGGAAGCATCAACTCTATACGATCAAGGAAAGATATGAATACTCTAGATTGTAGTCAAATTTGAGGATAAACTTTTTCACTATTGCTCACTGAAATCGTATTTTTCTACCTACTGTAAATCGTTTAATCATTTCGTAACTCTATCAGATTTACATATTTCGTTGAAACAAGGTTTATATACATCCCAGAAATTCTATGAATTTTCGCAAAGAATCAATAATTTTATGTTCACTTACGCGTGCAAACCGTTGAGATTTATTATGTAAACTAAATTCTCATAATAATGATATATGAAAGAGATTAATATTAAGGTAGTTTGATACAACTACTACAATAAATGAATAAACTTATTTTTAAAATTGGCTTTATGAAATTGAAATATTACTGTTCAAGATAAGAGCTTTATTTCACTGATCTGTTAAGTTTCATGGTCACTGTTTAATAGTTATATGGAAAAAGTTGAATTTTGTATGTCTTACTTAAGAGATTGAAGACCTACAGAGAAATTATTACCTGATTCCACCAAGTCTACGTATATGTTTTCACTCATATTTTTTACAAATATCAGTCTTGAAACAGTGAGGATTTTTTTTCATCATTTATAGTTTGAGCATTCAGTTTTAATTAGCTTGGAAAGTGAGACGGATTTCTATCTGTTTAAATTCTAACACCCTAGACAGAGACAGATGAAGTTGACCATATAGCAAACAAACAAATGTAGATACTATCAACTATAGCGAGAATCTATAATACAAAAGGAATAATTGGCACCGATCTATGAAAAGTTATTAATGACACCATTCGGAATCTCGAATAAAAGTCATATCATTTAAATTCTCAATATAAGTCAATCATATCAAAATAAAAACAAAAATCTGTCTCCACTATCATCTACATAGTTCTTTTTAACAGCCAAATTAGTGGGACTATAATTTATGGACAACCTTTAAGCGACACTAAAGTGACCTTGAGACCATCCACCTAATCACTAGAACTAAATGAGGGTTCTAAACCAATGTAAAGAATTAAAATTATGATTTACAATTGACGGTTAAGATTAGAAATTGATATTAGCTAAAATGTGCCAAAATCCAAAACCTATTATCTTATACTTGATTAGTTCATCTTTAAATTATCGTCTCCCTGTTAAATTTAACAACAACAAAAAAGACTAATATTTGAACGACGAATATTCTTTTCGATAAATTCTCTTCAGGTTCTACGATTATATATCCAAATTAATAATCCGAAAAATGGCCAGGTTAAGGGCAAAGCACATGGTTTAAAGTATGTGAATTTAGGATTGTTAAACAAAATACAATAAAACTGTTAATGTTGATATGATTCACATAGAATGTTAACTTGAATCGGCGTATATGTTAAGTGAAATTTAAGATCCATGATCAGAATAAATATGGGTCAAATAGGGTGAGAGAGAAATAATAGTGCTATTACAATTCGGTCAAATGTTTACTGGAAGGCTATATTTTGTGAAAAATTAGTAAGACGTAATAAGGAGGGATAAATGCGAAGTGAACGAATCATGTATTGGGGAGATTAATAATGATGTTTAACCAATAATAATAATGATAATAATAATAATAATAATAATAATAATAATAATACAAAGATTTGTGTATAAAGATAAAAGAGACAATTACAATTTCAATAGTTGAAATCATGAGTCAATTGAAGCTAGACAACCATGGAAAACCTGGAAGCACTGGACAGCCGTTTCGTCCTATTATGGGACTCTTCAACAGTGCGCATCCACAATCTCTGCCCCGTGAGATTCGAACCCAGTACCTATCAGTCTCGTGTTTCCAGGTTTTCCATGATTGTCTAGCTTCAATTGAATCATGATTTCAACTATTGAAATTTGCAAAAATCTCCACAAAACCCATTCTGATAATAATCAACTGCTCAGTGGTGACTGACTTCAAGAGGCATTTCCTGGAGTTCTAGTGAGAAGCCGTTACCAATAAAGTTCAACCAGGTCTGTTGTGAGATATCAACTCACTGAAGACTATGGTATACAGTGGCGCAACTTCGTGGATTGGTTGAAGCTAAGCATTAACACCGTTGGATGTCGGCTCAGTGGTCTAATGGTTAAGCGTTCGCGCGCGCGACCCATAGGTCCTGGGTTCGGATCTCATGAGGGGCATGACCGTGGATGCGCGATACTGAGGGGTCTCATAATAGGGCGAAATGGCCTTCCAATGCTTCCAGGTTCTCCTTGGTGATCTAGCTTCGATTGACTCATTTTTCCAACTGTTGAAATTTCTGAAAATCTGCACAAAACCTCTTCTGACAATTGCAATTGACTACGAAAGGTCGAAGTCGAATTGGGCCACTCAATAACTAAGTGCTATGGCCCAAAGCCGCAAATCAGAAGCAGCGAATTATCTATCGGACCAAGGACGCGTGAAACACGTGTGAGCAACCTAGAGTCCTGATTGGTCCTGCTTTCCGCCTAGCCCAGCCAGTTAAGTCCAGAACACCAGTCTCAGTCTCTGAAATATGAATTCTTATATTTCAAACATACTGAGTTTATATACCAATCAAACAGACCACAACGTAGCATAAAATAGAAAATAACGTTTGTATAAAATCCGGTCAAATGTGGCTGTGAATCTGGGAGGCAGGGACTAATAAACAGGGTATAATTCAAGAATATTGAAACGTATAATAATGGTTCATGGGTCAAAATAAAGTTTATAATAAGAGGAATATGCATATGAATAGTTTAGTTATTTAACAATTATACGATAAAAATATACGTTTAGTATTGATCCATAAAAGGATCCCAAAGTTACCATTCATTATGTTTATCGGGACCTAACACTAAGATTACTATTGATTAACTGTCCTTGATGTTGGCCAGGGGAGGATGAGTAGTTGAAGATATTACTTTTTTAGGCATAGTTCCGGTTTCTTTGTCCGCATGGCTACTACTTCATCCATTTGACGAACTTTAAGTCTGATAAGCTTTGGCAAAAAAAAATTACTGACCATATACTTTACCCTTAACCTGACCATTTTTCGAATTATTAATTTGGATATATATGAACTGTAGAACTTGAAGAAAATTTATTGAAAAGAATATACTTCGTTCAAACATTAGTCATTTAATATTGATGAGAATCTTTAAACGAACAAAACAGAAAGCAAATTTATATACAATTTGTTCAATTAAAACACTTACCTACACGTTTGAACTTTATCACATTGTGTTAATTCAATTTGTATTATTGTATCATGTGTAAATATTAATAAAGAAAATATATCCATTGTAGAATAATTAAATGCCTCATTACTTGATCTTATTTGTATAGTTTTATTGAAATAAGATTTATGAAGTAATAATAAATTTGTTATTTTATGATGGTTTTTTGATAGAAATAATTGTTTTATAATATAAATATGACCAGAAGTTATCATTGAGATCATTGATTGGGATCTATTATAATCATCAATTGAAATTGGTTTAGTTAAATTAATATTGTTTTTATATGGATTTAATTGAAATGGAAATAATTCAGAGAAATGATCTTCTATTTCATTGAATAATAACATTTTGTAAACATCACCATTATCTAAATAAAATGTTTTTTTTGTTTTTTTTTTCAGAAAAAAAATCTTTTTTATAACTAGTTCATCAAAACTAATATAATAAACATGTTTTACAATTGAGAACAAAATCCGTATATATATATATATATAACTGATATTGAGTTAAGTAAAGAGATTGAAAATGATACAGTTATCTAGGAAACTAATAGTAAATCTTCAAAGGACTAATTTAATGATGAGAACAAATCAAACAATGCTGGAGATTAAAGATTTTATTTATTGAGTAAGTTGAAACAAATTGTTATAGAATTGAAAGGTTATATAATCATTAGAATAATACATGTAAGTGAACAATTGTTTTCAATTAGATCGTCATCAGGCTTGACTCTAATATACATGAATATTTATATGAAAATGTGGCGAGACTCTAATTTATGGACGAACCAATCTGAGGCACTTTACAGATTTCAAGGTTACGGCGCCAACTTCAGTGCTTAATGCTAACGTACGATCGGTTCACAGGGAATTTTGTACAAAACGTGATAATTGAGCGGCCATAACTAATAGAACGGCGAGACTATAATTTGTGGACGAATCAATCAGGTATAAGATAACAGATCTCGGATTTTGGCGTGAAAGTCTTTCATCCATTTGGCTAAATAAATTTCTGGCATTATAGCTGATGTCAGTTCGTGATGAAAACCCTATATATAATTCCTAACTAAGGCAAATTACGCAAATTATTGTGAACTGGATTATAAAAGCACCAGTAACACTGACTGCAGCCAGGTACTGCAATATATACGGATGATTGGAGAGTGTACAGATTCCTACATAGGATTGATCATGTGCATCGTGTAGTTATCCACAAGTGGAATTTTGTGTTCTTAACAATCAGAGTACACATAAACAATATTGAAGCTATGTGGTTGAGGCTGAAAGAGTTTTTGAGACTTAATCATGGCTCCAGAGGCCGACTATTTCCTTTACTGCATCCATTACGATTTTAGAACTTCTGAACCTCTTTCTAAACTTGATAAGCTTTTGAACCACGCAGAAGTAATGTATCCACTTTATTTCTTTGGTTTTGTGTAACATATTTTGGCTTTATACTGACTGCTTGCTGATCGGCTAATACTTCTCAAGGTCACTTAAGATTCGTTCAAAGGTCGTCCATAATTTAGCGTCTCACTGTAAAAAGACATGTTGATAGTAGGAAGAATGGTGTACTGATCATAGTAAGAATAATAAAACGTCATATCAATAATTAAACATTGGAAATAGAAGGTCAAACGTTGGTAAATAGACTTAGAATATTCATCACAAAACATTAAATCGATTACGTAATAAGAAGTGTATAAATAATTAGATGGTGAGGAATACAAACGGAATGAGTTGGAAAATTACGAGCGAATATTGGATGTGAAAATAAGGTTAGGAATAACAAAAATAAAATAAAAAAGGTCGTCTGTTAAGTAATAACTGGCCACGGAAGGGATAGGAGGGTTACGAATTTCTTCTCTACACATTAATTGGGGTTATATGTACAAATTCCTATGGCTGCGTTTGCCGCCTCAATGTGCATTTACAAATTCAGCTGCTCCTGTGGAGGTAGCTATATCGGGCGTACTACCAGGCAACTTAACCAACGAATGAGTGAACATCTACCAGCGTGGTTTATAAAAGGGCCAGATAAAAACAATACACAGTTCTGTCTTGGCACATCTTATTGATTGCCGTCATACTGTAGATAAATCAGAGGCATTTCCAGTGATCTATCATATCACTCCATCATATCCCAACGGAGTCCGTTTCGGTCTCCTACATATAGCTGAAGCTATTGATATACTTTTGTTATCGTATTTTATTATTCTTACTATGATCAGTACACCATTCTTCCTACTATCAACTTGTATTTTTACTTATTATATGTGGTGACTTATTCTAGTTCATTATGATTATTTACTTAAATTACCTTCATTCGTTTAACATTTTCGTATAAATATTCATGTATATTGGAGTCAAGCCTGATGACCATCTAATTGAAAACAATTGCTCGCTTATATGTGTTGTTCTAATTTTCATAATGGGAATCTTTAATATATAACCATCAACAAGAGATTTTTATACAAAACTGTATAGCGTGAACAGTTGCTTAAGAATAGAAATATGAAGGCTAACAATAGTAGAGAAACAAGCAACAGATTGCTGGTCGTTTGCAAATTGTAAATATTAAAGAAACGTATATGTTGAATTTATTTCCAAATTAATGAGAGGAAGTGAATTACACTATTGATACACAGAAATTCTTTTTGGTAATGTGGGTGCCGACTACCTTGCCAGAATGCAATCAAATTTATGTCTTGTGAGTAAACAAACATCCGCCTTATGTATTAGACTAACATTTACCTGACTACGAAGAATGCTGTTCTACTACAAATATATCTAGTCATTACCTAGATGTAACTACATACAATGATGTGGATCATTTAGAATGATAAACATAGATTTTTTAGAAATAAATTAAAACATAATAAACTTAGATTCAATAAAAATTTCTTACAAGCTTTATTATTAGTCAATAAATCTCCATTGGAACAGTATGCTTTAATGTAGAGCTTATATAATAAACTTTGATAAATTCTTTTATTAATTATTTGTCAGTCTGTCAAACCAAATTTGATACACTGCACCGTTTGATTATAGCAAACTGTTATCATATTGTAGACAAAATATAACTTAATTTTATTCAAACGGATTTTGTTCTCTCTCTCTCTCTAGTGGTGGCCAAACCAAAACGTGGCATCAGTGCTTAAAGTCACTATCTTATTGTCTGAGTCATATTGGTAGATGCAGATTACTGGGTTGGGGTCCGCGTGACTATCGTAACCAATGGTTGGAGACTCTTGGTGACATGGCTCAGAATCGATCACAATGGCGTCGGTGTATACACTCCCTGTCTTCCCTTAAACTAAGAGATTAAAATCGCTTCATATCTTTCTTTCTACGAATTAATTCTTTCTTCCTGTACTATATCCTCATATGCAGTCTTGCTTTTATATATTACCACCTTTGAATTAACTACTTTTATGAATCCAGTGTTCATCTTCTTGTGTTAATGAGGTGTGGCAACTTGGACCGTTGCATATATGTGCCTGATCCTACGTTGTAGCTGACTGACTGCTCTCTACCACATAAAAGTGAGATACAAGTCTTTTGAAATCAGAATCAATCGGATAAAGCATGTTAGTCAATAAGTAGACCATACAATCAGGTCACGGCTCTATAGGTGAATGACTAACTAACAAAATCTATTATTCTATATTGGTTAATATTTCGGACCACAATTTTTGTTCGATATTAGTTTTTAAAGAAGTATCTTATGATAATGACACGTTTCTTGGACTCTTGTATTTCCTTGAATATCAGTTCATTCGAATGCTTATAACAATAATTTAAACTTGAAAACGTTTATCAATTGAACAAAGTTATATGTTGCCATTTTCAAATGATAATCTTCCCATTCATTGTTTTAACAACAGAATTTGTATAAGATTTAACTTCATTACATAATATTACTCAAACAAACCGATAACTCACTCAAAAAAGTTCTTAAAATAACATACAAAACAGCATATTAATTAATTTCATAAAACGTTCTCGATGTTACTTAACTGTTAGTTTAATATTATTTGTTGAGATCATTTACTACTTGCTGTCACTTTATGTTAACACCGTCCCTAGCAAGTTTAACTCATCTGAATAACATCAACAGTATATCACTGTGTCACATGGCACACGCATTTTAGTAGACCTGATTGACATATTTTGGTAATTAATGCTTTGTTGTTCTGTGCTCTCGGTTTTAGTTCTAATTTCTCTAGTTGTAGATAATTATCATTAATTCGATCTGGCACACGAAATGACCCTAATTACACCGTTCATAAATCAACGAGCAGTCCATTTAAGAAATATTAAAAAATTCCTGGCCGATGCATTGGATCACTGTAATACATGTACTACCTAAACAATTACAGAACTAGTGTACTTAAAACTTTCTTCTATCACATGTCTGATCTGTACATCTAATGTACCTCTTTATATCAAACTGATCATGCCTGTAAACTGGTGGGAATTCTGTAATTATTATTTTCAGAATATAAATAAATTTACAAAAAACAATAACTTACTTGTTCCAACATAAAAAATTGTATAACGTATATGTTTTATTTGTCCAGGTTGTGTTTTATCTTGATAAATTTTAGAAACATGACGTGGATCAATAATAAATCCAGTAATTTGTGAACGCGATTCAATCATACCAAAAATATCTAATTTTTCTGGATAAACTGAATCAATTAATAATGATGCTTCTAATGCTAAACGTTTATTTGATGTAGTTGAACCTGGACACTAAAATTAAGTATATAAAATTAAAGAAAAAAATCAGTTATATAATTTAAAAAAATATTTCATGTATTTTTATCTCTGCTCCTTATGCAATAACAAAGTAAGTTACTATTCAATAAATGAGTAATCTTCGGATAAATCAATATTTTAGAGTATTAAAGATTCTCATTGTGAAAAGTAGAACAACACATATAAGCGAACAATTGTTTTCAATTAGATGGTCATCAGGCTTGACTCCAATATACATGAATATTTATACGAAAATGTTAAACGAATGAAAGTAATTTAAGTCAATAATCACAATGAAGTCGTTACCAGTGGAGTTCAACCAGGTCTGTTGTGAGATAGGAACTCACTGAAGACAATGGTGTACCGTAGCGCAACTTCGTGGATTGGTTGAAGTCAGACATTAACACCGTTGGATGCCGGCTCAGTGGTCTAATGGTTAAGTGCTCGCGCGCGAAGCCAGTAGGTCCTGGGTTCGAGCCCCGGGTGGTGCGGGGTCGTGGATGCGCACTGCTGAGGAGTCTCATACTAGGACGAAACGGCCGTCCAGTGCTTCCAGGTTTTCAATGGTGGTCTAGCTTCAACTGACTCATGAGTTCAATCTGTGAAACAGAATAAGTCACCAAGTATAATAAGTAAAAGTACAAGTTGATAGTAGGAAGAATGGTGTACTGATCATAGTAAGAATAATAAAATTTATCTATTTTATTCTGTTTTTGTTATCATTAACCTTATTTTCATATCCATTATTTGTTTGTAATTTTCCGCCTCTTTCCGTTTGTATTCTTCACTATCTAATTATTTACACACTTCTTATTATGTAATGATTTTGATGTTTTGTGATGACTATTCCAAGTCTATTTGCGAACATTTGACCTTCTATTTCCAATGTTTAACTATTGATATGACTTTCTATTATTCTTACTATGATCAGTACACCATTCTTCCTACTATCAGCTTGTATTTTTACTTATTATGTGTAGTGACTTATTCTATTTCATCATGATTATTTACTTAAATTACCTTCATTCGTTTAACATTTTCGTATAAATATTCATGTATATTGGAGTCAAGCCTGATGACCATCTAATTGAAAACAGTTGTTCGCTTATATGTACTGTTCTAAATCAATATTTAGCATATATTATTTACTATAATAAAAATATATATTACATAATGTACTTTTATAAAAATAAATCAAAATTAATATTGATCAACTAAACTAAAAGTACCCTACCTATATCACTTACTGTCTATTTTCAAAACTGTCATTATTATTTTGATGCTTTTAGTGTTTAAAATCATATACATAATTTAATGTCTTAGATACTAAAAATTAATTAATAATACATTGTTATTAAATTCTAAGCATGGATTGCCGGTGATGAATACACCTTCTGTATTCTCACAATTATATTCACACTACCAATAGCTTGAGAGTTAAACTCTACTAAAAGTTGTAGGTATCATTACTAAGGTTTGACTTGATAATTTCGAATAAATTGAGCTTTGGGTAGATTGTTATGAATAAAAATAATATATTTATGATATCTCAATGAATAGAAAAATTAGATTTTCTAACGTTTCGTGACTTAATGTAAGTCACTTCTTCAGAGAATAAATAACCAAATTAAAATTAATCCAAGTTTAAAAGGAACAAAGTAATAGCAGTTCACGCCATTTTTAAAAACCACAAAATCGATTTCAAAAACATCAAAATATTACTAAAAGGTTTTTCCAACTACAAAGAAAGAATAGTACCTGAAGCGTTCCATATAATGCTTAATAATACTACTCTCAATAGAAAAGAATGCCTCCTTATACAGCCGACTTGGATTATCCATCCAACCTACCATGTCTGATATTATTCACATTCTATATTATTATCTTACATGCGAATCAAACTTTTTCTTTTCGCACCACAAAGGTCACATTTTTTGTCTCTGACCTTGCACACACACACACACACACAAAGTTACATACATGTTGCTTATAAATCACCCTGACCGAAGTGACATGACATTGACTTGTTCAGACCTGATTTTTGATCGCACATAATATTCTTGCGTTGTTCATTTTTACTATTTAAACTTGGATTAATTTTGATTTGGTTATTTATTCTCTGAAGAAGTCGCTTACACGAAACGTCAGAAAATCTGATTTTTCTACTCAATGTGATAATAAAAATATAACGTTTTATTTACCTACTAAAAGTTGTTTTAAATGGTGTTTATCTATGAAAATAATCTATCTAATAAATTTCTATGCAAATACTAAACGAAGTACAATAGTACACCAGTCTGTGCACAGAAACGTACAAATTTCATGTATTCACACAGACATTAATAGAGGTATGTTTAGCTCAGCATGTTACCATTTTCGACAGTTTCCATTTATATTAAAATGATGCTCTCATTGTTTATAAGTAAAGGTGCTACTATAAGATAATGCAAACTATTAATTCAGTATTACATTAAAATTGTAGAATCCCCCTGGTTAAGTAACTCGTTCGTGCAACAGTTTCTTGTAATTTCTTTAATATCACCAACTTAACAAACATCACATATCGTCGCTTCTATCAAGGTGTGTTGACAATAGAAGACAGGGTTTTTTCCAGGGAAATAAACACAACCACCACAAAAACGATAGATTTTCCTAAAAACTAGCACTAAAATCAGTCAATCGTTAGTAAACCTATTGAAATATATTCATTTTACCAAATATTTGGACGAATTACAACATTAGGATCACGAATAACATTGAAATGACATTCAATACGATACTCCAGACAATAATATCAAACTGAAATCTCACACAACTTAGTGTGTTACTTTACAGAAAAATAAAAATTATTTATGTCTAGTACCTTAATTCATTTCTGATCTTTATTTAATAAACCCTTTTATATATTTATATTCTCATGTCATAGAAAATTATGAAAGCTAAGCCATGAATGATTATCAGGAATAATATCATTACATTCAAACTATATATTTGTTATTATGAAATTTTCAAATACCTTTGTAAAGTTTGTTAAATATGAATATTTATCACGATTTATTCGTTTGAAACCATTTGAAAATCTATGCCTACCATATGTAAACAAATCACGTTCATCATTGAATTTTGAATAATTTTCATAAATTATATTTATTTGTTCTTTATGATATGATGGTGAAAATGTTGGTAAACGTAACATTAAATCACTAGATTCAATGATTTTATCCACATTAGAAAGTTTATAAATACATAATGCCAATGGTCCAGATGTTACTAGATTATTTGTTAATTTTAATGGTAATTCATTATTTAATTGAGGATCACGAGCTGAGAATAAACCATAAATAAGTAAATCATTTTTAATTTCTGGTATATAACTTGTTGATAATGCAACAAGATAATTAAAATCACGATTTGTAGATGAGATACTATTTTTAAAAAATATAAAAACAAAAACAGGTTAAGCACAAGTAAATACAAAAAAATAAAAAAATTTTATAAATCAATTGGTATGTTAATGACGTATCTGAAGGGGTTTTGTGGAGATTTTTAGAAATTTCAATAGTTGAAATCATGAGTCAATTGAAGCTAGACCACCATGGAAAACCTGGAAGCACTAGACGGCCATTTCGTACTATTATGGGATTCCTTAGCATAGCACATCTACGACCATGCCCCGCTGTGAGATTCAAACCCAGGACCTATCAGTCTCGCGCGTGAGCGCTTAACCATTAGACCACTGAATCAGGTTTTCCATGGTGGTCTAGCTTCAATCGACTCATGATTTCAACTATTGAAATTATGTATCTATTAAAATATTTATCATTTATAAATTGGGTATATTAAAAAATGGTCAAAATCACGGCGATACTATAATTTATGGATGAACTAATCAGGTCTTGGATTTTGACACGAAATTCACTTACCCATTTGACCAAATAAAGTCTTGGAAATTTAGCTGATTTTAGTTCGTGATGACAAACTGTAAATCTAACTCTTAACCCCAACTATCAACTGCGAATAATACTCCTTATTCTTCAAACCGCTTTATAACCCTCATTTAACACTAATAAATAGATATGCACTCTCAAGGTCAGTACAGCGTCGTTCGAAGATCGTCCAAAAATTATAGTCTCACCGCTAAAACTATTATTCTTAAACTCGAGTTAAAAGGGATTTAAATAGCATGTAATTTTTTCTATAAAAAAACACAAGACACTTAAAAATTTAAACTATGAGCATATAGATTAACTAATGTAAATGTAAGTTTAGCCTACTTAATGATATCCTTCGAATTATTTGATCAAATCAAATGTGGTTATTATTTTTAATATTACCGATTAATATAGCTGATATATTCATGTATTAAGGATTGATAGGTCGAGTACTTTATAATAAATGAACAATAGTAAATATAAATACAAACCATCACAAACTATATATCAGTGTAGGGTTGTAGAGATTATTAAGTTCTTGATTGAGATCATGAACCGATTGATGTTAGACCACCACTGAAAACCTGGAAGCATTGGACAGCCTTTTCGTCCTATCGTGGGACTACTCAGTAGTGCACATCCACGATCCCACTCACGAGATTTGAACCAAGGGCCTTCAGATTCACGCACGAACACCTAACCTCTAGACCGCGGAGTTGGCCGGCATCCAATGGTGTTAATGTCTAACCTTAACCAATCCACAAAATTACGTGATCATCTTCCATTGTACTGAGGTAGATACCTGTCTCTACCCGACACAGTTTGGTTCCACTAATCATGGCTTCTCACTAGAACTCCAAGAATTCCCTAGCGAAGCTATTCACTAGTGAGCACATGGTAATTATCGGTATGGGGTTGTGGAGATTATTAAGTTTCTGAGTGAGATCATGAACCAATTGATGTTAGACCGCCATTGAAAACGAAATTTCATAATCTGATTAGCCAAATTATCATTCACTGCAGTGAGATAATAATAAATAAGATTGAGAACAAGCAAATGAAAATATTAACAACATTACTAGTTAACAGTCAAACAAATTCTTGGAATCGTCTTGACGAATCGTACATTACCAAAATCAAAGACAAAAAAGAAAAGAAAGAACATAAGTGAAAATAACAAGGAATTTGTACCTCTAGTAGAAATGTTTCAAACATGAAGCAGACTCATCGAAATAGTAAAACTAAAGAATATATGTTTTATAACGGACACTACACATTCTGTCAATTTTCCCTAGAGCCACGTCACGGTGATACGAAATGTTATCCAGTAGATTTCTTTGATCCTAAGAGCTGAGGAGAAATATATTGCTACAACTAATATCATAAATATGTTGCTATGTTAACTGAATCCATCTTAGTATTTACTTATTAAATGGAATTTAGTTTGTGGGAGCATATTGTTTTTTTTAAACAAACAGTAATTTTCCCATAATTATTACAAATAATATGAATTACCCCGTTATTTAAATGCTCATTGAATTATGATCACTTTTTGTTATCCTGTAAGAATTGTTTCTACACAAAAATTTTGACGTAAATTTTGTGTAGAAGAGTTTAAAAAATCGGTTAATAACAAGATCAAGAACTCTGATTTTTTCTTTTTTCTGACTACTCAGATGAGTGGACCTACATTGCAGTATTTATGCCCACATTGGTACCAGAACACAGTACACACAGTTGATGAGTCACGAATCGAATGAGCTGAACTTTCTGGATCCCATTGCTAGCCTCACCCCATCCATTCTATCTGAATTATCAGTTATCGTTCAATTACTTCATAGTTAGGATAAACGTTTTAAGGGAGATACAAAGTAATACGTTCTCTATGGGTTCCATGAGCTATATGTTTCGATGTATTGCAAAGTCTTAGTGTACACTATTTTGGAAATTTCATACCAAGTCGACATTTGGCCAAAACCGGTTAGTAATGCTAATTATCTTAAAAATCTCTTGTACTAACAAAAATCAAATCATTTATAAGACCTTAACATTAATATTACTATCAACTTACAGAAATTAATAAATAAAATTATAATTTTCAATTCAAGATCTGAACAGTTATCCACGAAGTTGCGCCACCGTACACTATTGTCTTCAGTGAGTTCTTGTCTCACAACAGACCTGGTTGGGCCCCACTGGTAACGACTTCTCACTAGAACTCCAGGAGTATCTCCTGAAGTCAGTCACTAGTGAGCAGTTGATTATTATCAGAAGGGGTTTTGTGAAGATTTTTAGACTCATGAATTCAATCAGTGAAATTTCTAAAAATCTCCACAAAACCCATTCTGATAATACTTAACAGTTATGTCATATAAGTTTAAAATAATTTCACTTGATAGTAGAAAATTCATTTATTTACATAATTATTATTTATTATCATAATATTACTTAAATGAATAAATAAATCAATAGTCTTAAGGGAGATTAAAGTTAATTAACAAATAATAATAATAAATGAATAATAATGAAGTCAATTTGTAATAAATTATGCTTTTTTAATAAATCAGTTTACAAAAAGAAAAAAATTAGTCAATAGATTAGGTTTATTGTTACCTTTTCATTAGTTTCCATATATAACTCCATAATGATAATAATAATAATAATAATTATTATTATTATATAGAAAAATGTAGACTTTTTACAATTTTATTGAATTTATTGGTAAATGTTTTAGTAATAATATTCGGCGAGACTCTGATTTATGGACGAACCAATCTGAGGCACTTTACAGATTTCAAGGTTACGGCGCCAACTTCAGTGCTTAATGCTAACGTACGATCGGTTCACAGGGAATTTTGTACAAAACGTGATAATTGAGCGGCCATAACTAATAGAACGGCGAGACTATAATTTGTGGACGAATCAATCAGGTATAAGATAACAGATCTCGGATTTTGGCGTGAAAGTCTTTCATCCATTTGGCTAAATAAATTTCTGGCATTATAGCTGATGTCAGTTCGTGATGAAAACTCTATATATAATTCCTAACTAAGGCAAATTACGCAAATTATTGTGAACTGGATTATAAAAGCACCAGTAACACTGACTGCAGCCAGGTACTGCAATATATACGGATGATTGGAGAGTGTACAGATTCCTACATAGGATTGATTATGTGCATCGTGTCGTTATCTACAAGTAGCATTTTGTGCACTCAACAACCGGAGTGCACACAAACAATATTGAAGTTATGTGGTCGAGGCTGAAAGAGTTTTTGAGACTTTATCATGGCTCCAGAGGCCGACTATTTCCTTTACTGCATCCATTACGATTTTAGAACTTCTGAACCTCTTTCTAATCTTGACAAGTTTTTGAACCACGTATAAGGAGTGTATCCACTTTATTTCCACGGTTTTTTATAATATGTACTTACTATATACTGACTGTTTGCAGATTGGCTAATACTTCTCAAGGTCACTTACGATTCGTTCTAAGGTCGTCCATATATCAAAGTCTCGCCTAATATTCTTACGTACATTTATTTCTCCTAAAATAAAATATCATTTTATAATGTACCATATTCAATTGATTTCATATTAAAATTAATCAAATGTCTTATTTTTTCAGAGAGGGGGTTTTGTAGAGATGATAGTAATTTAATAATTGAAGTTAGATCACCATGGAAAACCTGGAAGACTGATAGGTCCTGGGTTCGAATCTCGAGGGATGAGGTCGTGGATGTGCACTCCTGAGGTGTCCCATACTAGGATGAAATGGCCATCTAGTGCCTTCAGGTTTACCATAGTGGTCTAGCTTTAATTGACTCATGAATTCAAGTATTCTTTCTGTCTACGATTTCACCGATTCTGTGTAATAAAAAAAAAACGAAATTTATTAGAAACTTTTATGTACTTGATAATTTTTCTATAGTTTATCAGCAATAAATGAAATTGTTCTGGCTAAAAAGTATTTTTTTCATAATTATTAACAATGATTTATATCAAACTTTTCCAAGCTGAGGTTCCCATAGTCAAGTTTTTTTAAAGGAACTTGATTATCATAATGAGAAATGTAATAAATGCATCATCAGATCAAGTTACTTTAAAATGTGGTTTAATTGAATAACAAGACAATAAAAGTTTTAAACTCAAAGGATATTAATACATTATATATTGCTTTTTTAATGTTTATATCAGAAAGGAACTAATTATAGGCACCATTTTACTAATGTTCCGTTCTGTTCATTCCTGATTATCACATTTTCTGCATTTTCCATATTTTTAACTGATATATAGCAAGAAACAAACTCAATTGTTGCGTATGACTGGTTAAAAATAGATCTACCACTAGAACGTAAAATTATATATCATCATGTTATGACTGGTTTAACAATCTTGGCTTATGAAGCGAATGGATACGTGAATATAGTTCTAAAATTCTGGTAAACGTTTAGTAATTTCAGATAAAATCTACCTCATACTTAACTGACTAGTAAAACTTTTTATGTACAATACAGAGCAAAGCATATACACAAACTCCAAGCTAATCAACTTTATAGATATTCTCTGCTGATGAATGATAGTGAAAAGAAAGCCGGTCTGATATATTTTCTATCTGGAAATACATAATTCTAACGCTTAACTCACTAAACTAATTTAGGATGAAAATGAGTAGTGAGTAGAAAGGTATATTAAAAAATTATGTGTGCTTACAGCCCAAACAAACGCACAAATAGAGTAACAAGTGAATGATGACCTTGATTAGCTTGATAATCACGTTATTTATTAGAGCTTACCTAAGTCTGCATTTGACTTACTTTGAAACCTTTGGAAAAATGTCGTTAAACCTGATATTATCCTGATAACTATTGTCGATTTCATCATACTTAAACTGCCTTTTTCTCTTTATTTGTACACTAGTTGTTTGTTGATTATTAGCCAATTATATGACACAGTATAACATTATGTACTTCAAAGCTACCTTTAAATTTCTGTTTAACCTAGGCCGTTAGTAAATAATCCCTGTTTTTAAAATGGTGGAAGCATGAATTTATCAATATAGCTAGGAATATATTTAAAACTCACCAACCACAAGAGACGTCAAATATTTATAGAGTACTTATTTCCTGATAACTTAAGAAGCTAGATTACATGTGTTTTTAACAACACATAGTTTACCTATACTTCATTTTAGAAGCTCCTTGCTGAAACAGTTCTAAAGTATTCACATGTATAATACGCTTCACTTAGAGAACCGTATCACTTATCCTCTAAACCACATGAAATTACTCACGTTAATTTAAATTTAAATTAGCAAACAGAAAGTGAGAGAACAGTTTATAAAGCAATATTTATCATCCTATTTTAAAGGTAGTAGCATGTTGAAAACAATAGTCGACTTACCTAGGTGATCCATCTAAGTTTTTTGTTCTTGTACGAACTTGACATACAAGCCTTGTCTTAAAAAATGATGTGAACAGTTTACTTCCATCATTTGGCATAAGAAACCCTTTATCTTCTGTACAAATGCGAGCTATACGTGTATATACAATCTATTTTAATGAAAGAGGGAACAAAAAACACATCAATATGATTCGTACAGTTTATTACCGAGTAGAAGAAACTGTTAACATTAGAATATTATCTTTCCTAATTTACAGAATTTTCAATTTCGTAACTCAAGATTTCCTTCGAGTGATTAGATCAGTAATTATTTTATTGAGTAAAGTATTTATAAGTAATAAAGAATTTACTCTCATAAGATTCTGTTATACAAGTGAAATCCTACTAATTAAAGGTCAAATAAACGTAAATCTGACCTGCATTCATTGTAAAAAATTTAAAACAGACTTAACTAAAAAGCTATTTTCATATCATTACAAGAATGTAACGCAAAATTTAATCCATCAGTACAAGCAATAAGGGGAAGCGAAACATAACTATAGATGTTAAATGTCTTGTTATTTTTTTTAGAATTACGATAACTCGTACTAAATTCCCTTGGTATGAAGAATAAAATGTATAAACAAGTAAATTTAAATCATGTTCTGTTAAACCAAACTGTCAGTTTAGGGTTTTGAAGACTGTTGAATCTGTATTGCGATCATGAACCGATCAATATCATACCATCACAGAGAACCTGGAAGCACTAGACGGCCGTTTCTTCCTTTTATGGAACTCCTTAAATGTGTGTTTGAGCGTCGGGCTTGAGATCGTGAATGAGCACTAATGAAGAGTTCCATACAAGGACGAAACGACCCTCCAATGCTTTCAGGTTCTCGATGGTAGTTCAACATTGATAGGTTCATGATCTCAATAAAACATCAAAATATACTATTGTAACTGTGATAAAAATATAACGCACTTTAAAACAAAGAATTGTGAAATGTATGGGAAGATTTGTAAATCCAGTGGATGTTAGCGGTGATATTATTCCCTGTTAATGCTTCAGTCTAATGTTGAACTCATTCTTTGCTTTTTCAGACAATATCATCAGTGTATCGCCTGAAATAACCTCTATTTCAAAGAACGCAGTGTTAGCAGAAATCAGTTTTGTACTAAAAACATAATGTTAACAATTTTTTCGCTCATGATAATCAAACAAATCTATCTTTCTGTTTATACGTTATTCGAGACAATTATACACTATCAACAAAGTGTTTGTGATGCCAAAAGCTTAAATTAAAATAGTTATTCCTAGAACTAGTTTTAAAAGTAGATAATAAATTGTTTATATTTTAAATAAATTCTGAAGACTAAATCATACTGATTCACAAATCAAAAGTTTTCAAAACCTATAGAGTAGTGTAATAATAACTAATTATAACGTTAAGTATACTGACAGAAAAATAAGTAGACCAATAAAATTAGTAACCAAAACTCCTACACTGCTGTAGCAATGTAAGAACACAACTACCAATTGAATTAAACGTCAATATTTCTTAACGAAGCTAAAAAGTTCACTCATTCCTATTGCTTCACAACCGTACTTATCGCCTTGCTAAGCCGTTTCTTAACAACCACTGTTTGTATAGCTATGTACATATTTTAACCAAAGTACTCAAGTTGCTAAGTACTTTGTTTAGTTCTAATAACTTTCCAAAATTATATGTACAAAATGAAGAGGAAAAAACGAAAATTCAAACAGAATAATATGAATACATTTTCATTCATGAGCTTGTCATCAACTACATACAACTTGTAACATTCAGAAACAATTATTATTACGAAATGAGATTAAAGTCCTTGGATGAATGAGTTTAGTTGGAAGTTGGCTACAACTCACATTATCATGCTGAAGCAGGAATGAATATAGAAGACTAAATAAAAATATTGCAAATATATTTCCTTGACTGATAGCTTTTATGAACAAAACTCTAAAATAGGACCTCTGTTCTGTTCTGACAATATGACTGCTTATACAGATACTCTTAAATATACATCTATAGTCAGTACCATCATGAAGAGGATGGTTGTAGGTAACTCAATTTAGATCAGTCCAAATCAACTGTATTGCTTGTTTCCACAAGACTAAGCAGTTACCATGTGAATTTTAAAACCCTAAAACCTCATGACTACTGTCGTTTATGGCATATAAATTGATAAAATAAGTAGAAATTATTTAGTTTAACCGATCAGTTGCCACACAATATTTTCCTATTTCAAATTGAAGTTACTTAAAATAGTAATATATACGACTTTAAACAAAATAATTAAGATGTAACTTTCTTTTGAAAATAATAATAAATTTTAAATTTCCTAAAAGTTTATTCAGTATTGATTAGTTTATTTTTTATCATTCTCCCTTATTCCTTATACCCTAAGAACTAACGGAAAAATAAAGTTTTTAAGTAAATATTTATTTTTTCATTTTGAAAGTAAACTAGTTTTCCTTTATCTATACTTAACCATAGATAAGTTAAATATATTTTATGTGATCACTAAACAAGATGATTTGATGTTATATTGAACTTTCCTTGATCCGATTTGATTGAAGGGAATCTGAAGAAAATTCAAACCAATTGTAATCCAGTAAAATTTTATAATCTATATAAGATTTTAACCTAAATTACATGTCTTCACATTCATTTTTAATCTTATAATATATACTAGTTAATAATCGAATAGCGTTCTTAATGTATTTTCTGGTTCCCTTAACGAAACATGCAATAGGTCAACCGATAGATTAATACTTTTATATTATAATGTATTTTGTTATTATTTATAATCAATTTTTAATTAAGGGATCTTTTATGCTTTACATTGAGATTATTTATCCATATTCCTAATTTACATTATATACGCTTTTCGGACAAAATATATTTAGACAATAAATTCACTAATAACAATACAGTCATGTTAATTTAACCATTTACGTTTTTGATTAAGATAATGAAGTGATTGATGCTAGAGCACCATTGAAAACCTTGAATCGCTGGATGGCCGCTTCGTCCATTTCACCGTGATCAGTGGAGCTAATTCGTGTCGGGTAGGGACAGGTATCTACCTCAGTACAATGGAAGATGATCACGTAATTTTGTGGATTGGTTAAGGTTAGACATTAACACCATTGGATGCCGGCCAACTCCGCGGTCTAGAGGTTAGGTGTTCGTGCGTGAATCTGAAGGCCTTGGTTCAAATCTCGTGAGCGGGATCGTGGATGTGCACTACTGAGTAGTCCCACGATAGGACGAAAAGGCTGTCCAATGCTTCCAGGTTTTCAGTGGTGGTCTAACATCAATCGGTTCATGATCTCAATCAAGAACTTAATAATCTCGACAACCCTATACTGTTAACTATTTAACTGACTTTTTAAATACTTAATTCTTTTACGTTTGCTTCCAGTTTATATTATATAAAACAGCGTTTAATGTTGGTTCTATTATATTTGGCTTATTAAATTTTATCAGGACTTATGAATTATTATAGCTCTGAACAACATGACTTCAGAATTTTGAAATATAATATAATATATATAAGTCTCCATTCTAAACCAATTCACATGTATGTGCCATAGCACATGCATTGGAAGAACTGAGAAAAGAGCACATGTTCGCATTTCTCAGCATGTTCCAAAGAACTTGAGGCTGCGAGGGACCAGGGCTCTCGACAGTGCAATAGCTCAGCATCTACTTGACACCGGACATACCGTCGACATTCCGCACGCTTTTAAAATTAACAGCAGACAAAGAAGTAGGACTGCTCTCCATCTTACTGAAGCGATCGCGATAAAAAAAGTTAAACCGGATTTATGTATTCAAAAAGAGACAGTAATGAACTTATTATTACCCTGGTAATCCACTTTATTGCGTTTTTTTTCGTCATTTGTGTTATTTTATTCATTTATTTGTTTTTAAAATATTTATTTTGTGTTATATTCCTCACCTCGTTACCGAATTCTTAAACCAACTTTTCATTCACACATTTCTGCCCACTGATCTTCTTAAATTATGTTAACTTTTCAAATTCTATTCAGTTATTACGTAACCTGTCTTATCACTGTCTAATTCCATGAATCCTTCACTACCTCTAAAATTATCACATAATTTATGAACTCCACTCAACTATTACACCACCCATCCTGAATTGTTTCCTTGATTCTAACATCAATTAACCTCTGACCTGTTCTTGTATATATATATATATATATATATATATATATATATATATATATAGTTATTATTGGAAACCTCTGTCATTCCAATCATTTACATTCATTTATGTCAAATGTTTCACACTATTTCTTATCTCAATGTAAAATTCTGTTACATATTTGGTTGTAAGCAGCTGACGAGAAACCTCGAAATATTATGAATTCATACTATTCTCCATCAATATTTATTGTTCCTTTATTTAAACTCATAAAGGGAACTAATTGCATATAAATAAGAGCTTATTCTACAGTTAAATTAATATTATGTTTTTGAACAGTATAACAACGTAAACATTCAGTATCCACTGTAAAACACGTATTTTTCAAAATACATTAATTACATAGCAAAATTTAGTGGCTTTATTAAAATAATAAATAATAAAATTAAAACACGGAGTTCGGCGAAGGGATCTCTTCTCAGTGAATTTATTATCAAGCTGTACAATCGTATATACATGAAAAAAGTACTAGTTTCGTGAGATGTGAACACAATCAACCATGATGCCGTAATAGAAAGATTATAATGCCAGATTACGTAATACGAATGATAACAATAGATTTAGGGAATATAATAATAATAAATAATAGCTTACCTTATATTCAGATGTCCATGGGTTCTCCTTAAGTTGAGTTTCTATTGCTGGTTCTTGAAAAATAATATATCTTTTACCAGGTAATGATAAAATTTTATAAAACATAAATTCATAACCTTCAGTAAAATGAGAATTTTTCAATTTACTCGTTTGTAACAACTTATTCCAACGTATAGAATTTACATTTAAAGACCAATAATTTTTATCATATATATTAGAATTATCATTTAAATGATTTGAAGCATGATGTGCAGTTTCATTAATATTCATAAATCTATTTGATAGTAAATTAAGTTTTTTTAATTCTAACCTAGGAAAATATCTATTAGACAAGTAGGCTAATGTTAAATAACCATCTAAAACAAACAAACAAACAAAAAAAGGGAGATTGAAATATAGCACAATGAAAAAAACTATTGAAATTATTTGAAAAATAATTCTAAACATGTAAGTGAACGGTAATTTGCGCGGTCATATAATAAACAAACACACAAACAAAGGTAACTGAATAACAATAAAACTTTTTATGTGTATTTTATTTTTAATTATCATTCTCAAAATGTATGTCAGATGAACCAAAATCAGATCAAATAATCTAAAAAAGTTCAAAGAAACTAACCAACATAATTTATTTCTTGTCTTCAATAGTTAAGAAATATATAATTCAATAATACATGCAAATAATTAACCGGAATAAACACATCTACTACAGAACTGTTGAATATTATTTCAAAACATCATTTGTCAGTATATTATATATATATATATATATATATATATATATATATATATATATATATATATATGGGGAGAGAGAGAGGATGTGCTAAATTGTTAATTCACCTTGTTCATGTCCGTTATTTAGTCTTCGTTGTTATTACTTACTCATAAAATTATATCTTTTATTATTATAAAACAAAATACGGGTTATTATTATCATTCGTATGTGGAATTATCATTACTGTTATTATTATTATTGCCATCACTATTATTAATGTAATAATTAATGAACTTCAGTAGAATATCTCGGAAGTTAATCAGTAGAATAATACACATCCGTAATGTGTGTCATGTTTCTTTAAATTTGTGTTTACAGATTTATCTACAAGATTTTTATGACTATTTACTGTTTTGTTTATTTATGTTTCAAAACAAAACATGATAACATAAAAAGAAATGAAACAATAGATTGTGTATATGAGTATCACCATGTTTAATATTTTACACATTTATGTTCATTGTCTCAATCATTTTGTTTTAGAAAAATAAAGTTTCTGTTACGTGTTAAATCAAACAAAGAAAATTGTTATTTATTTTAAATTTAATAATTTTAGAAAGAATGAATAAATGAATAGGATTAAAATAACTAGGTATTAATGTGAGAAGATATCTAATCAAGAGGTCAAATACTAACGTGATGTGACCAGGATATGAATTGTATAAGTGTTTCCCAATGTTATAAAACACTTGGTAGGCAGGCTTCACACTACCCGACGAATGACGTTTTTTAAGGGTATCTACTTAACTGGATGCGACATGAGAATTTTTGTTACAGATATAATATACAAATATATTACTGATGTTAAAAGAACTCAGCAACAAAACTGTTAACTGCTGTTATGCCTTTTTGGTTGATTTCCAACGTTGATCGCCAACCTTGCATTTATATGACTAAACAAATAAATATCAAAGAAACACAATGTTTGAACAAATGTCCAGCAACTTTATCGACAGATATATCATGATGTAGAGAACAGATTTCGCTTACCTCCTTCCTCTTATGTTTAAGTGCTACTGGTTCGTGACTAAGCTGATGGTTAAGCTTTTGGTTTACGTTTTATAACCCTTTACGTCTTTATGCATTTGGAACATACACAACAGATTTCCTTCATTGATTTAAATGCACGTGTTGTAGCCTCAGTTCGCTAGTTATACTCTGAGCACTTTGCCTAAATTTTAAGTGTGCCCAGACCCATATTTGTTTAACGTTATAAAACCAGCACGGAGACTTCGAATATCTTGGGATCAATAAAAAAATTACTTCGATGAACTCGAAGACAACAATGTCTCTCATATCTTGAAAAATGCACAAATCACTGCAACATACTAATTAAAACTTTCGTAAAACTTTTATTAAAACAATCAAGAGTCCTCAAAAGTGCACTCTGGGAATATTACAACAATTAAAAGCAGCTTTTCAAAATAAGCTCAAAAGGATACTTTGGCGTTGGAGAAATGAACAGTTAGATAATTACTCAAAAAAGAGGGGAACATGTACCGTTGTACCACTTTAATCAGTTAGCGACCATATAAACTAGGATTTTCAGCATCCACTATGCAGTACTTTGTGCCATGGGACTTAAAACTTTTACTCTTTAGTTTGATTAACAAATCAGTACCTTCATATTATTGTTTCCTTTGGTCACTTAGAAATTTATAAGCTTTTCTGATACCTTACCTTTTAGGCCAACTTTGCAATGGTAAAATATTTGAGCGAATGGTGAACAAGTTATTCATCGGCTGACCTTATTAACATTGCCTTATTAAACTAAAAGCAGTGCATAAAGTTCAAAGTTATACATCTGGTAAACGGTACATTAAACTACCATGCTCTTTGGAACAGAATTATCAAACACAACAAGTGATGATTTGTGAAGAATTTACTTCTCTAAAACGTGATGGTGCTTTGATATGTATAAATCAAAAGAGATAATAGTCTTAATGGGATAAAAACTGATAAAACTGCTTTAGAATAACTACCCAAAGTAAATATGTTTGATGGATAACCTCTAACTACCGAGCTTCATAAACTTTTACGTTTCGAAGGACTATGTGCAACTGATGGTTCGTTAGTTAAATCAGTACTTGCTGGCAGTGGAAAATAAAAATCAGTATCCTTACCCAAGTATACTTTTTGAGTTCTAAAGATCATATCCACGTAGTTAGTTTATTTTTGTTTCATGTTTACTTGCGTGTGCTAGTCAAATGGTACACCTGATGGGCCTGATAAAAATACCCCTTATTTAACCTGCCTTTAAAAGAATTAAAAACAGATGGATGTTTCGTCTAAACCATGTTGATAATCAAATTTAATGACCAGAATGTAGTTATTTGATGAACAACTGCAATCTTAAGGTTCCTTTTGATAATATATTTTTACACGTTAAGAGTATTCTCACAAACTGTGATGATGTTTTAAACTCACGAAATTAGAAATTAGCTGAACAGGTGGGATTCGATAAGTTATAAAATTCAGTGGGATTTGTGATGGACTGCGAATCAAATTAGATGCTAACTCACCTGAATACTCATAAGTTATACGGCTATTCATATATCCAAGAGGCACATGCTCTTCAAACAAAGACAACCATACTAGACCTTTCTTCATTATAATACTACAGCGTACGTTTATATCAAATTTTCCACACATTTCATATAAATCTGGTCCTAATTGAACAACTGAGTAAATGACAGAGTCGCAATATCCGTTTTTAAAATCCACGTTTGAATGATATTGAACCTCCGGCCATGTGATTTTATCATAAATGAAAAACTCATCGGATATAGAAATGATTATTATGCTGGAACTGAAAACAATAAATGGTGATCATTAAAATCCGAACATACTTCGTTCCAAGAAATATAAGCGTCTTTTCGTTTGAAACAAAACAAAACTTTCCAACGAACATTTTACTCCCATGTAAAATATTTTCTTTACGATTTGGAGATTGATTGGTGATACAAATGTGGAAAAAGCTTATAATAAGGCCTATGATATAGTACTCATGAAGCATCCAGAACGCTTTTGACTTCAAAATGATATCATTTAGTTTGCTTTACTTGATAAGAATGTTGATTCCTTCAAGTGATGAGTATCTAGCGATAAAATATTCTAGTATTTGAACTAGTAGTACTTACCAACTTGTAAAGGTCAAAAGCCTTAGAGTATTCTAACAAGTACGAAGTCACACACAAATTAATTACACCAAGGTTGAAACAAGGTTATCACCAAAACAGTCTTTTCTGCTATGCTGTGTCCATTCGGTTAAACAGATATGGGTTGTAACTGCCATACAGTGATCCCTTTACGTCTGGTTTGAAGAAAGATTCGGCTAATGATATAAGTATACGAACTTGCATCGTTTGGCTTTCACAGGATTATTTTCTTTTTTAAAGGATGATTGGATTCCACTAGACATTTCAAAGAGTCAGCGGTTTGTATTAAATGAACCCCGTAAATTTGCTAAGCAAATTATCACAAAAAGATTTATTGCAAACTCTTTCTACAACTCTCAGTGGTGCGTACTGCGGGAAAATCGGTTTAGAATTAAAAACTCCAAATTAGATAACGCTACTTGTTTCCAATCAAACTACAGTCCAACTAAATCTTAAAACACCTAAAAAGAGTGACAAAGTGAAATAAAAATTGATCTGGTTATTTTTATTGAAGTCGGGGTTCAACTACATCCAAGCAAGCATGTCCATACGTGTCTTTGCCCCTCAATACCTCTTCAATTCTGAAAGGCTTTAATCTCATAGTGCTCAGACCAACAGCAATCATTGGACAAAGCACTATTAACTAAGCCTAATTAGCTGTCGTTTCATCCTTTTGATATCCCATTAACTAGACAAACGCAGTTTAAGTAGGTCTGAAAACTCGGAGTCCGAGTAAAAGGAAACTAAAACTAGCAACTTAGTCGTGGTAAGGAATGAACAAATAAGTATATATGTCACTAGCAATCACATTCAACAGACAATTTAATCGACAATGGCGAAATAACGATCTCGAAGATATTGCGATAATACTATACACCTACACGAAAACTACGAACATTTTATCCATGTCGATAATATGACAAAGTTCAACAAGGAACCAGCGGGACATAAAATTGTGCATTGGGCACATGTAGAGAAATATAGCGGTCAAACTATAACCATAGTCTCACGAAGCACTTTTTCATCTTTACGTCACATATGTTATTTCGTAACTGGGAAATTATCTGCTCATTACTAGTGAAAAGGTCGAGGTTAGAAAAATATGGCGAATGACAATTGGACTAGCTGCATAGTTAACTATTTTATGTTGTGCCTAAATCTATCATAATGACACAATACGACTCCATATTGCATGCCTGAAATCTGAGTTCGTTATTGTGTCTCTGGAATTATTGGGATCAGTTCTGTTCCGTTATATAATTTAAACAACAAATCATGCGGTAATTACAGATAAAGCTGGAATAAATGCGACTTTTTTCTTGGATTTTGGGGCAGAATAAGACTACTACTTGATGAAAACTGTTTTACTGCTTGCCAATATGGTTGCAAATTCCTTATGCTCACAACTTTATGGCCAAATAGGTTTTAAGTGTTGTTTTTGTTGTTCCAAACGTTGATGGTGTGGCTGCTCAGTTTTCCTGGTGACAGCGCATACTGGTGTCTTAAATCGATCGCCGTACCATTAGATAAACGAGTGTCAACGTGCATGGGTCTTGACTTCATTTGAGCACTTTCTGATTTATGACTGTGATCAAATGACGCGCTAATATATATATTGCTGACAAAGCGAGTACATGCCATTTTTCAAGCCTAATGATTTGCAGTATTGGATTGTAAATTTGATGCTCGCCATGTAGGGTTGATAAACAGAAAAAATCAATTGAAATAAAGGGCAGCACATTCGTGCAGATGTTCCAGGAAGTTAATAATCCGGTTTGTTTTATGATACTGTACTACGAGATAAGCATCAAGTCTACGTTGTGATCATCGAAAATGCTCAGCGGGTCCAGATTCCGATCTTTTGTTTTACAATTCTAATTCTATCAAGTATTTTTTGCGGTACAACTATCTAAGAAATTTACAGTTGTTATAAAGTAAATATGTGGAGCGCCT